AATCTTCAGCATGAGCTGTTACTATTTTTCTCAGTAAATGACGGCGGGTGAGGTCCACTTCATTAACTTGGAGTTGTGTAACGAAATTACCACCAAACAACCTACCGTTATGTCATTCAAAGGTAAACCTCAAACATTCTTGATTAGATCATTGTAACGTGCTTTTGTTGTTTTTCTCTGTCTCTTCTGCTTCGCAGGTACACCTGGTCGCCCTGGGCTCCGCCTCCCCCAGGTGTCCTAATTACCGTTCAGCTGGGGACTTTAAAAGAAGAAGCTGGAGGAGAAGAGGTCTCTTCCCCTATGCCCGATGCCGGAAGACTTTGTCTGTGGACTACCTTCGTATCTGACCTGTCGTTGATCTGTAGCTTGCCTGTGTGTGGATAACATAAACGTGTGTGTACTGGAGGTCTGGTTTAGCCTACCTAGTTTTTTCAACGACTTTGTTTCACAGCCGTAGTGATCTTGGATAGACTTTTGGGTAGGGGACGGGACGTCTGGGTCCTACGGCCCGCTGGTGTGAATTGNGGCAGGGCAGGAGGTGAACTGGGACCTCCCCAAGTAGCAGTCCACACTCCATATTTAGGTCTGTTCGGGGACTTGAACCGGCGACCTGTGAGCCGTAAGGGTCGCCGGTTCAAGTCCCCGAACAGACCTAAATATGGAGTGTGGACTGCTACTTGGGGAGGTCCCAGTTCACCTCCTGCCCTGCCGTGGTCACTGTGTGTGCTGTGTGCTCTGCATGTGTGACCATTAAAGAGGGGTTTCATCCCTCCAATTCTATTCTATAGTCCCTGCTAGAGAGGTGGTACTTTCCTGAGGAGGAGGGACGAAATAGTTTGTGGGTGTGTAGGCCACACTAACAATATCTGATTGGCAAATTGCAAACCACGCCCCCGTAAAACTCAGAAGAAGAAGTGACGTCAGCGGCTTCATTTGCCTAATCCTCCCTCAGGGACTTATTCCGGTGAGAACGGGATCTACTAGGACCGTTCGAGGGTCTAAAGAGTTCGGGGGGGAACAAGTACCGGGGACAAGTACCGGTTAAGTACTTGGTGTGAAAGCGGCTATTGGGAAAGAAGGGGGAAGAAAGAGCAACTTGTGTGCATTTGTGTTTAGAGCACGGCCAACTAAATAATTGTGGGCTAAAACAAGAAAAAAACATTTATATACTTCTGATTAGCTAAAGAAAATGCGTTTAGGAGGGACCGTAATGCCACCTGGCTTTCATCACTGTTACACAACATAATTAATGATAACTACACAAATAAATCTTGTTGGCAGCCACAGAGAAGCAGAAGCGGTGTGAGCGACGCTCTAATGGCAGTCAAGGTCTTTTGAGCTGACTGATAAATGTCTCTTTTGATTTATCAGCTTATTTGTTCTATTTTCTACAGATTTGATACGCACTTCCACTCTGCATTGCAAGTTGTTTTTATATGCAGTCGCACAGTTGCTATGTCTGATTGTTTGCTGAGTATAATATATTGTTATTATTATTATCTGTTTCTATATAATGAATCTATCTATATGTATATGCAATTTGTTAATCACTTATTTGTCATATCTGTGTCTTGCCAAACATGGGATCTCAAGACGCCACTATTGTCTATATATAGAGTATTTCTCATATATCCATTTACAGTATCTTGGCATAAATAAAGCATGTGGAAAAGAGAAAATAACCGGAAAAAAACTGAAATAAAATACAATGTGTATCCCAAATGTCAAAATATAAAATAAAAAACAATTAAATCTCTACACATTTTCTTGGACGAGAGTTTTCTTTTTCTTCTACGACTTCTTAAGATAACGTTTAACGTGTGAGCAGCCATGTCAGAGTTTGTGCGTCATCTCTACAAAATCAATATCTCTGTTATGTGTTTACTCCAAAGGGAGCCAGCTAGGTGACTGATGTGTTTCAAAGTGTTTCTTTGTATTTTATTCCATTTCCTATTGAATAGCTTGACATTAGAAAAGTCCCTTTATAGTATTTAAGTTCAGTTTTAGGTTCAGGAGGCATTATAGACTTATTGAATGGGTAGATTTTATTTCTGTATTTATTTTTAAAGAATGACCTTCCAAATCACAAAGCGCCACTTGTTATGCAAGTAATGTAGTATCTCCGTATTTCAGTGTTAATCTACAGTAGTTGAGTACATGTTGGTTCTACTAGAAGCTCTGATTGTCTCCCTGAACCTAAATGCTTCAGATGTCTCCAGCGCTGAATCTGGTCTGGCTCTTGCAAAGCAGTTTTTTTTGTTTCATGCAGTCTTTATTTTCTATTTAATGTCACAAGTAATGTAAAGGCTTACTATCAAGATTATGTCTGTTACGACCCGCCCTCTACTCAGTGGTAGTGGCTCGTGGGGAGACCCGCAACATAAAAGAAAACACACCAAACATTCAGCATTTAACGGTGACCATTTATTTGTGGGTTACAACCGTAAAACACAAAGGCTAACCGGCAAAAGAACGAGGTCTGGAGGACTAGTAGAAATAAACAAAAGCAGAAGGGGGCCTTGGGCCAGCCACACCACGGGCCGTAGGACCCAGACGTCCCTCCCCTACCCAAAAGTCTANTGTACTTCATGCCATGGTGTACTTCATGTTGTACATCATGGTGTACTTCCTGGTGTACTTCATGGTGTACTTCATGTTGTACTTCATGGTGTACTTCCTAGTGTACTTCATGTTGTACTTCATGGTGTACTTCATGGTGTGCTTCATGGTGTACTTCATGGTGTACTTCATGGTGTGCTTCATGGTGTACTTCATGGTGTACTTCATGGTGTACTTCATGGTGTGCTTCATGGTGTGCTTCATGGTGTGCTTCATGGTGTACTTCATGGTGTGCTTCATGTTGTACATCATGGTGTACTTCATGTTGTACTTCCTGGTGTACTTCATGTTGTACTTCCTGGTGTACTTCATGGTGTGCTTCATGGTGTACTTCATGGTGTACTTCATGGTGTACTTCCTGGTGTACTTCCTAGTGTACTTCATGGTGTACTTCATGGTGTACTTCATGGTGTACTTCATGGTGTGCTTCATGGTGTGCTTCATGGTGTACTTCATGTTGTACTTCCTGGTGTGCTTCATGGTGTGCTTCATGGTGTACTTCATGGTGTGCTTGTGTACTTCATGGTGTACTTCATGGTGTACTTCATGGTGTACTTCATGGTGTACTTCATGGTGTACTTCATGGTGTACTTCATGGTGTACTTCATGGTGTACTTCATGCCATGGTGTACTTCATACTATACATCATGGTGTACTTCCTGGTGTACTTCATAGTGTACTTCATGGTGTACTTCATAGTGTACTTCATAGTGTACTTCATGGTGTACTTCATGGTGTACTTCATGGTGTACTTCATGGTGTACTTCATGGTGTACTTCATGGTGTGCTTCATGGTGTACTTCATGGTGTACTTCATGGTGTACTTCCTCCTCCAGGTGAAGCTGCAATCTTTACTCTCAGAACAGGTGAGATGTTTTCTGTGTGTCCTTCACAGATTACTGAGTTACTCACACCAGTAGAAATACAAGAGTGCAGAGGGTTAATACGTGACTTTCACAGCAAGAATGTGCCGGGGGACCAAGGACACTTAGTGTTACTATGGATACCATTAAACTTTAATCGTTATTTGTAGCCTCAACACAGTACAACTCGTCTGGTAATTTTCTACATTGGCAAAACAGAGAAACTAGAGCTTTGTTAGGGCCCAGAAAACCAGGTCCAAGTATACATGGACATACTGTATGTAGCTTTCATACTAGTACCACCCAAGCCAAAATCAGCAGTTTGTGGCCCAATTTCAACTGTAAGAAAAACCTACATTTCAAATGTAGTACAAGCTGCTGTCTAGACAAGTTATTGCATTGTGGTAACAGACTTTCGGACATGATCTTCAGCATGAGCTTTTACTATTTCTCAGCAAATGACGGCGGGTGAGGTCATTCATTAACTTGGAGTTGTGTAAGAAAATTACCCAAACAACCTAACGTTATGTCAGTTCAAAGGTAAACCTCAACATTCTTGTTAGACATTGTTACGTGCTTTTGTTGTTTTTCTCTGTCTCTCTGCTTCGCAGGTACACCTGGTCTGCCCCTGGCTCCGCCTCCCCCAGGTGTCCTAATTACCTTCAGCTGGGGACTTTAAAAGAAGAAGCTGGAGGAGAAGAGGTCTCTTCCCCTATCCCGATGCCGGAATACTTTGTCTGTGGACTACCTCGTTCTGTCGTTTGGATCTGTAGCTTCTGTGTGTGATAACGATAAACGTGTGTGTACTGGAGGTTCTGTTAGCCTAGTTTTTTCACGACTTTGTTTCACCCGTAGTGATTTGGATAGACTTTTGGGTAGGGGAGGGACGTCTGGGTCCTACGGCCCGTGGTGTGANAACAGCACCATCTACAGGCCTGGCATATGTACTACAGCGTCTCCAGCGCTTTCGAACGGCAATGTCCGGCCAACTCCACCAATCAGAAGGAGACAGCCACGGACATTGCCGTTCGAAAGCGCTGGAGACGCTGTAGTACATATGCCAGGCCTGTAGATGGTGCTGTTCTCACAGAATCAGCCCATGCAAAGACAGTGTTAAATTGAGCGAAATGAGGAATGGCTAAAATGCATGATCTGTTTGGTATTTTGAAAAATAAAAAGTATAAATATGCCTTATATAGGTATGGTCCTACACTATATTATTCAAACATAGCATGATAGGTCCACTTTAAGTGATCAAGGATACATGTAACGTCATTATATTGTATCCATCAATCAGGAGCTACTGTAAATGAATGATAACTTCTCCTTCCCATCACTGTCTTTAAAGTTGGATGTGGAGTCAATGCTTCAGGAGTGTTAGTCATCTCAGCCTTCTTGTTGTATTTAACCACTCTGGCCAAACAAGGGACAGCAAAGACAGAGGAAACCAACAAATCCCAATTAAATGTATCTTTAAAAATGTTGTGTGAATGAATACTTTTTTATTTCCACAGGCTGTCCAAGCGGGTATTATGGGAAGGACTGTGCTAAGATGTGCTCATGTGGGGAAGGAGGGCAGTGCCACCCAGCTACTGGAAAGTGTATCTGTGCCCCTGGTAGGATAGGACAGTCCTGCCAACAAGGTAACGTCATGACAACCCAGTCCTAGTTGTTTATGAGGCCATGCAAACGAATATCTTATCAACAGTAAATGCAGCTGGTTGAAACCTTTCTATGATGGAGTTTATTACTGAAATAGTTTTGAGGCAAGAATGAATCACTTTTCAGTAAATTCTAAGAGAATCCATTGTAAAACTTTGAGTAAAACTTGTAAAAAATATCAAACTTTGGCCTTTTATCGTTTGCCCTTCTCCTCAGAGAGCCTGCCATGCATCAGTGGGATCGGCTGGCCCTAATGAGCTCTTCAGAAATAGTAGGCCCTAACTAGAAAGTGAGAAACAACCGCTAAAACAAGGGAGCATTTTTAAACATTTTACAGTGTATATTTAAGTAACAAATTCTCCACTTCCTCCGTGTGAGGCCAAGGATGATAACAGGGCTGCTTTCCCGGGAAACAGACTCGGAGTTTCTTAATCTCTCCCTCTATCAGCCATTCAGCTGGATTGCAAGCGGGGATTTCCATCACTGCCTTTCCTAAATGCTCTCTTCTTCAGCGTCCTGCATGTACTTGGACATACCTCGTCTTATGTTCCTCTTGTTGAATGTTTACAGGAACCTATAAGTAGCTCGTTCTCTGTGTTCCGTATCGCTGGATCTGGCAAGGAAGCAAATAAATAAACAGGAAAATCAAAGACGGCTTGCTTATTGTTTTCCCAATCGAAATTACCCAGAGAAACATGATTATTCTTTTATATCAGTGCCAAATTAGACCACTTTGCCATCTCTTTAATGAACTGTTGCTTAAATAAACATGACTGTGGTTAGTGCAATCTTGTATATATATGTGTGTGTGTGAGTGTGTGTGTAAGTAGGCCTGTGGTTCTGGTCTTTTCCTGATGTGTTCTGGACCTTTCTCCAGCATGTCCTAGGGGGCGCTATGGCCTGCAGTGCAGAAACACGTGCAGCTGTCAGAACGGGGGTCTGTGTGATCCCATCCACGGGTCTTGCAGATGTGGACTGGGCTGGACCGGAGCGCGCTGTGACTCGGGTACAACTTCACACACACTGAACAACCAGAACAGAGCTGAACTTTAATCTGTACATGGGACATCAGAAACTTAAAAACTAGAACAAACAACAAAACTGGCAGAGAAAACCCTTGTAAACCTTTACCTCCTACTATCAGATGACCTTTCACTTAAACCCCCCCTAGAGGGACGCTCTGTGGCAGACAAACATTTAATATACCTGCAATTTTCCCTCAGCAAGATAATCTTAGCAAATGAGCACAACTTGAATGACTTTGAAGTGTAAATGCATCCACACAAAATAAAATAGTTTACGTCAGGCTATAAATACATATGACTTCAGGTTGCCACTGCTAAGCTAAATGCGGATAATGCTCAGCGTAGTGATGTTATGCAGTCTCATTTAGGGTTTATTAACTGACATATTTTACGTCATAGAACAAAACCTTAAGCTTCTTAAGGAATCCAACCAGAAACTCATTCAAATAAACATTGATCTTGGAAGTGCAAAACATTTTTTACACCTTTCCGGGACACATTCCTGCACAAGTCTGAAGACAATCAGACAATCAGAGTACTTCAGTTTTATCAAAAGCTACCATATGGATCTATTTGCAATATAATCCCATTGAAGGATTTCTTCTGAATCATCATGTTGCATTTACACACAGTTTCTTTGTAGATGCAGCTAAGTGTACATGTATATATTGTGTGTGTGTGTGTGTGTGTGTGTGTGTGTGTGTGTGTGTGTGTGTGTGTGTGTGTGTGTGTGTGTGTGTGTGTGTGTGTGTGTGTGTGTGTGTGCGCGTGTGTGTGTGTGTGCGCAGCCTGTTCACAGGGAAAATATGGGTTTGATTGTGCACAAGACTGTCCATGCCTCAACAATGGGACCTGCGACCGTTTCACCGGCACCTGCGGCTGTTCTGTTGGATACTACGGCCACTCCTGTCAACACAGTAAGCACACACTCACTCATAATACAAAAATAAACTTGGTGATAGGGTTACCTGTGGCCTCACTGACACTTCTGTAAAAGTGCAACTAGTAAAATATGTGTCTGTGACATGAAAGAATACAACATGACCCGTTTTTAACCATATGCTGAAAGTATCCTTAAAGTATGTATTTCTCTTAGGTTGTCCATCTGGGTTCTTTGGCATGAAATGTGCCCGTACGTGTGACTGTAAAGCAGGGCGGACATGTGATCATGTGACAGGCAAATGTGTGTGTCCACCAGGCTACCATGGCCCACAATGTGAAAGAAGTGAGTATCCACAAAAAAAAGAAACTACATGAAAAGCAGTATGTGTCCAAAATCATTACATTTCAATTCAATTATTATAATTTTGATTAAACGAAACTGATGTTAAGTTAAAAATAAGACATCTAAGACAGAAGACATGTTTGTGGAAATGATTAAAAAGCCATCTGGGTGCCCAGCTGCAATAAGACATGGGCAGATATGAGCATTCATGAATAAGAGTTAAAAAAAACCAAGGCAGTGTGAGTGTGTTCTGGCAGGCAGACAGACAGGCGAGCAGGTAGGTGGGCGGGCATGCCTCCTGGTTATTTGATGAGAGACAGGTGTTTCCCCACTGCTTAATGCGTTCCTGTTACATCCTGGGCCCTCCTGCCTGCTGCCGGGCTCTCAGCCGCAGTGTGAGCGCCTAAATGGCCACTTCAGTCCCAGCAGGAGATATGACTGAGCGTCGCAGAGCAGTAAGGCAGCAACAGCTCCAGAGACAGAGCGGCTCTTATCTCTGTGTGTGTGAAATACATGGTGTGTTTTTTGGTACACGCACTTGTGTGTCTGTTTGTGCTTGTGTATATTTATGTGATTCTGCACAGTCTCATTCATATGGTCTTGCATTTAAACATGTAGCAGACTTAATACGGATACAAAAGTAGGACTATGATCACATTTTAAAAGGTCTATATATTTCTTAATTGTAACTTATCCCTTATACTCTACGGCTTGCACAGGAATTAGGATTCACTTTCAAAACTAAAACTAGATTTTAGTGCAAGGCATACCTTTTCATAACAAAAAAGTTCACCAATAGTCAATTTGTCTTGCTGTATGTTGGGAAGATGGTTATCCAATTTATAAATGCATGGACGTTCTCATAACTACAGTAATATAAGCATACATCTGTTTTCAGGGTGTGAGTCTGGCAGGTTTGGATTGAGCTGTGGAGAGTCATGTGACTGTGCTGGTGAGGCCCCATGTGACCCATCCACCGGGCGGTGCCTCTGTCCCCCAGGAAGGACGGGACAGAGATGTGAAAAAGGTCAATCATCTAGTTTCATTAACATTTAATCAGCTCCAAATGTCCCATATATCCATGTTGTTTTGTCCTTAACACATTTTGTTTTTAAAACTCTCCCTCCCTTTTCTGTCTCAGATTGTGGTGGAGAGCGCTTCGGCCCAGACTGCTCTCTGCCGTGTCAGTGCTCCCAGAGGGCCCGCTGTGAGGGGCTCAGTGGGCGGTGCCTGTGCCCTCTCACGTGGCTGGGCCCCACCTGTACCGAAGGTAAACCTCTCTCTGACTTTGTCGTGTTTCCTCTACTTCAGAAGACATAATATTGATTTACAGTGAATTCCTAGAGACTAACTTTAACCAAATCTTCACGCTCAAATGTAATGATTTATGTTATGGGGACTTTAGGACCCCTGAAGGTAGGCGGTCCCCACAACGTGGCTGTACAGACTCACACATGACCCACTTTTAATATAGTTTCATTTGATTTGTGTATTAATGCTTATAATAACATGTAAATCACTTTGTCACACACACAAACATTTCCATCAGAGGATATTACCTTAACTTTCATACATCATGGGGACTTCAATTGTGTCCTCTTAAAAAAGGGGAGTCCCCACAATCTCACTGTACACATACACACACACACACACACACACACACACACACACACACACACACACACACACACACACACACACACACACACACACACGTGACTTGCTTGGTCAAGATAAAGCAAAACTAACACACACACACACACACACACACACACACACACACACACACACACACACACACACACACACACACACACACACACACACACACACACAGGTCACGGGCTGTAAAGCTGAACCAGCTTTAGTGAAATACTGTGTCACCGTGTGTGAGAGGCTGAGCCCCATCACTCTGTGTGTCAGCCTGTCTCCCTCGATAGCTGCTCCTGTCTCCTGACAGTTATTTTAATCTGTGCCCAGCATGAAGCCGACTCAGGGCTGTCTTCATTTTACCTCCTCAAAGCCATGCACACGGGAGACGACGTACCAGTTACTTCTCGTCCAAAAACCTCAGAACATTTGCTTTTCATTTCCAAATAGTGCTGATGTCTTCTTGCTTATTTTTTTCTTCCTTTCTTTTCAGCGCTGCTACACCAAACCCCGGGACCGTTGAACTTTTCAGTGTCCCAAAGAAAGAGAAGAGCGGGCAGCAAAACCACATAACCAAAGCAGAGGTGCAAGCTCCTGACTGGACGTCCAGACACGGGGCTCGGCTCTGTGAGACATTACTCAGATCATCTTGGTGAAGGTGATGTTAGTTGTGAAACTGGTACTCAGCTGTCAGAGACTGGCACTCCATCACTGAGCCTGGAGCTGGGGCCTGGCATGTGAGGGGCCCTCAGCGGACCATCTACCTACCCCAGACTGTCTACGATTCAAAGTCCAGGGTTACAAAGACTTCATAGCAATAACCCACAAATACCTGCATCATATTTGTGAGTATTGCTGATGGAAAGCTGTTCATTTGCTTTCCCAGTTTTACATTTAATCACCTGGTAAGGTTTCTTTCTTAAGGGAATTTGTACAATACGTGTAACTGAGACATTCTTGTCACTGGAGAACATTTACAACCTACTTTTTGTTTTTATGTGGCCACAAAAAAGTGGATGGTCAGCAGAACAGAAGCATATTTCTGGTGAAAATTGAAATGCCTCTTAAACAGATTTAGAAATGTATGGGTGACTTATTCAGAAAATTCACACACATCCACACATACAGGGACTAACGTTGGGCTGATGTTCTAATAAAGAAGCCATACATGTTGAAGCAGGGGGTGTTATGGAAAATGACTTCCAGACAAATCCTAGGATATAAACATGTACTTGGCTTTAAATTATAATTGATGTCTGATTTGTTTTCCTCACACACATTTCAAATGCCAGAATCTATTAATATGAAAACATGCAAAGGAAAGTGTCTTCACCCTCACCAAGCATTATGCAATTTATTTTAATTTGTTGCTCAAGTTTTGATTTCACACATTTCTTTGTGGAACTGTATCTTTTCCCAAACAATTGTAACCCTGTTGTTCTTGTAGTAGGTCGGTAGTGAGGTGGACATAAGAGTGATTCGATTTGACCAGTGTGCAGACAAACACAAGTTATTTGAACGGCCAAAGAAAAGGAGAAAATAAACCATTTCATCAGGTTTATCACTCAGGCCCTTCTGCATTCAGTTAAAGAGAAATACATCTTGCAGTACACTAAACACTGACCTTCCTCCATTTGTTTCTGCAGTGAAAAACACACACCGACCCGTCTGCTGTGTGCTGACACTTTTACTTCCTGTCACCTGCTTCTTGTAGCCAATCAGAGACGAGCTCTGTAATCAGGGCCAATTTAACCCAGGTGGAATCAATCTCTCCTCATTTGGAGCTACATTTTAGTCAATTGTACTTTAACAAAAGATAATTATCACATGGGTCCTCTCAAGAGACATAACCACAATTCAAATACATTATTATTTGTTGATAAAGGAGCAAAATTCAACTTATTTTGGACATGAAATTAGTAAAAGACTTCTTAAAGGGGAAGTGCTCGCCTTCTTCTTGAAGGATGAGGCCGGTAGGGAGTTAAAGTCCCCCAGAAAAACAAAACATTACACGTTTATTTCTATAAACTTCGAGCAGATGACCAACATTGACAAAGAAAAGTGACATAAGCAGTGGAGAAAATAGGCTCCATGACAAACTCAGATCATTGGTCTCTTGGTTTATAGATTATTCTAAACAAATGTTATTATTTCACGAGAAAATAACCCTTCACTTATTGTCATTGTCCCTGCACCTTTTACCAAAGCCCATTAAGATATTGCCTATCCATAAGTTATTTCAGCATGGCTCATGGTATCTGAATGAACATAGTTAATTTACCACCAGCGTCAGAAACACTCTCCATTTATTAGCATTGATTGTGGGTTTTCTTATTGCAGTGCGGTGTGCTGGTTGCGAAATACTGCGGGCAAAACTTGCAGACATTGCACTTCTTTCAGATCTGTGTTTATTGAGTCAGCAGCTGATACAGTTTGTTTGAGTCTTATAGACAAGCATCAAATGTTGTTAATACTTTTTCTGCAGTATCTGTTCACGTTTTTATGGTTGCACAATATTGAAAATATCCATATCACAACTGCTATCAACACTACACTTGTGCATTTAAATAAGGGTGCGTCTTATTTGTAAAAACTGTATTTGTATACTATCTCAGGTCACTTATATCAGTCATAACCTACTGTGCTCATTTCCTGTCAGTGGAGCTACATTATGACATTTTGTTTGTGTAAAATTGATAAACTCGAATTTGACTGTCATCATTTCCGTGGTCTTTTCTTTATTGCGTCCATGTGTCTTAAACGGCCCCAAAAAACACCTGCTTTGAAACGTCTATTTTTGAATTGTGTGTTTTGAATGCAGTGTTGCATGGTATTGATTTCTTTGAGTGGGGTGGGAGCGTGCAGTAAGGTATGGACGTAAGGTGGAGAGAGGTTGCAGCTGTCATGGAGACCTATGGGATCGTGTGTGTGTGTGTGTGTGTGTGTGTGTGTGTGTGTGTGTGTGTGTGTGTGTGTGTGTGTGTGTGTGTGTGTGTGTGTGTGTGTGTGTGTATATCAGTGCATGTTTCTACGCACGGCTACTACCAGGCATCTCTCATCAACCAGAGAAGGGTCAAGCATTAAGGCCTCCCTGACAGTAGTCTAAAGTGGGTGGGGGTGTGAGAGGCACCTGAGCAGGGTCCACTGGTGGTGTACAAGGTGTGTGTGTGTGTGTGTGTGTGTGTGTGTGTGTCAGAGTGCAAGTGCTCTGCCTAAGGCATTTTTCAAGTGCGCTGGAGCATTTTCTCCTCTATGGGCCAAAGGGGGCGGGCAGAGGCAGGTGCCTGGACAGAACATGCTCCAGCATCCCGGGGTGAGTGATGGAGGATGGAGCCCCCCCCCTCACCCACTCTCTCTGGTGTGGCTGATGGATGGGGGGCCGCTCCTGCTCGCCCTGTGTTGTGACAAGCAGCAGATGTTCTCCAATAATGTTTATCGGCCCGGCCTTCATCTTCAGATGACACACCTGTTTCCAGTCAAACAGGCCCAGAGAGGCCATCCATCCACGGAGCGCTGGGTGGCTTCTGCTCCGCCCATCAAACCTGCACATAGAGGTGCCACTAAGAACAGCTGGCATGCCCATCTTTATCTGAAGTGTAAGATCAAAAATGAACTCAGGTCGAAGCCAAATCTTGGCTACGGTCGAATTGTCAAAAGAAATAGGGTTAGGAAGGTTAAGGGTCGAAACACCCGATGAACGTTGGACATTGTCTCCTTCTGGCCAATGCTGCCCGTTTTTGTGGAATCATCTCCAGATGGATTTTAAACATGTTTAAAAAAGTCAAAGGAAACGGTTGCTCATGCTCTACCTCCTGTCCACTCATATTAATCAGCATGAATCCAAATTCCTAGTATGATTTTATGAAAATATTTAAATTAATGTATTTTTCAATATATCCATGACTTGTTAATTTAAAAAGCACCATTACTTACATNAAGATCAAAAATGAACTCAGGTCGAAGCCAAATCTTGGCTACGGTCGAATTGTCAAAAGAAATAGGGTTAGGGTTTGGGGTTATTCTATGTCTTTTCCAAACCACTTTTCCTTAACCTCAGGGGGAAAAGTAAGATGTTAAGTAGAATCCATCAGAACTTAGGAAAACAAAACTGTGGGTGCTAAGAAAACCTGACTTCACTTTCACTTCGCAATGTAATTATTATGCGCCAAGTTGATGTTATTATTAATTTCACTACAAAGAGAAACTAAATTCTTCATCCCATGCATTATTTCGGTGTTGTTTCATTCAATCTGCAAGTGAAAGGTTAAGGGTCGAAACACCCGATGAACGTTGGACATTGTCTCCTTCTGGCCAATGCTGCCCGTTTTTGTGGAATCATCTCCAGATGGATTTTAAACATGTTTAAAAAAGTCAAAGGAAACGGTTGCTCATGCTCTACCTCCTGTCCACTCATATTAATCAGCATGAATCCAAATTCCTAGTATGATTTTATGAAAATATTTAAATTAATGTATTTTTCAATATATGCATGACTTGTTAATTTAAAAAGCACCATTACTTACATCAGGGATCACCAACTACATTTGTCCAAGGGCCAAAATTATTCTTATGCCCCTTTCACACCAACGCGTTTTCAGCTCCGGCTCGGAGCTGGAGCCGGAAAAGTACCGTTTTTTCCTGTTCACACTTCAGCGGCGCCGCCTCTTAGCTCCGGAATCCGGTTCACTTCCNGCTGCACAGGTTGTCGTGTCCGACTATCACAAGTAGAATCATAATGAAAAATACGCCGGTAAAATGTGCCTGTAGAAAACGGCTTATGCCACAATAGGATAGCAATAGCAAGTAGTCAGTGTACCTTCGGTTGCTATGCTAACATCACCCATTTTATACCAGAGACACTTTAATAACAGCGTTGTGATGCCAAACAGGTAGCCTCGTAGTGGGGGCTACTGCAGAGCACATAAAGCAGACTCTTCACGCTAACGAAGGATCACTTCTTCTTCAGGGCAGGGAAGGCTACGCAGTACGCAGTCTACTGCCCCGCAGCTGCTGCCTCTCTGTTGGACTCCGGTACTGCACGTTACTCACGAGACGTTGTAAAAAAATGTTTAGTGGGGGGCGAACACACTAACCACTCCGCCAGCGCCACAGCGCGTGCCGGATGAGAATGTCTGGCGTGCCAGATTTGGCCCGCGGGTCGCCAGTTGATGGTCACCGACTTACATGATCCATTTCTCACGACAATTTGTTTCCGTGAACGGCCGAGTGATGCCAATTAATATGGCATTAAATAATGCCCAATGGCATTGTGGGATGTGGTTTTCTCCTTTCCTTTCATAAAGGATGGTCCAGTATCCTAAACTAAATGAGATTATAAAGGAAGCATTACCTCCTTTCTGATCATCTAGAGCAGGGGTGCCCAATACGTCGATCGCAAAGGTAGTGTGGGTAGATCACATTTTTTTTTTAAAGTCAGCCTATCATCCATCCTTACTATGGCATTTGCCACTTGATTGACGTACAGGTAAGCCAGGCTGAGTTGTATTGTGCCATACGGGTTCATGCAGTTGTCAGGGGGCCTCACCTCCACATCCGGCGCACCCCCCCCCCTCGTGACATAGATCGGGCAGGGGCGGCCTTGTAGGTAGATCATTTAGGCTTGGTCATTTTAAAAGTAGCTCCCAAGCTGAAAAAGTGTGTGCACCCCTGATCTAGAGAATTCGAACATCTCTCGTCATGGTCATGTTAGGAAACTTCCTAGTTCAAGAAAAAAAAAACGTAACTGGAACCTTTATGTGCACCCTTTGCATGGTCTTTCTTCCTTTGATTTGAGATGCTCATAGGGAAAAGAAGCTGATTCAGACATCATTTGGTTTACTCAAAATGATCTCAGCACTTATAAAGCCACTTTTCTTTTATTACAAGCTCATGAACAAAGATGCTCTTTGTGCAGAAAGGGCTTTTGGAGGGAAAAAAGGCCGACTGTTGTTGCATGCTGGCTCATCAACAGCGAGGGAGAGGGAGAAGCGTGAGGGAAACTGCAGATGTAATAGCCCGTAAAAGGTAAGATCGCATCATGGGTACTTTTTGGCTGTAATTAAGCATAAGCCACTCTTTGCAAAAGGAGATTCTATCACTTAACTGCCTCAGTTTGCAGTCTCAGAGATAACTACTGCCCCTCTGCGTTGAACCAGATCTCCCAGAAGGCCACAGTGTTTTGAACTTCAGCTGACGAAGCTGTCGGCTCAGATAAAAGAAAGAGGGGGAATTCATTTCGGCACGTCCTGCACCATTTGTTAGGTTGTTGGCTGGAAAAATAAATGTTAAATGTCGAAAGCTGCAAAAAGATGCGTATCAGGGAACTCTCCCACACTCTGGATCTGTGTAAAGACGTCCTCTGTTTGGATGCGACAAGATGTGTGCAGCACTAGAAACTATGGTGAAGTTAAACTGCACATAAGTGGGTGCAAATGAGTGAATTCACCACTGGATGGCGCTTAACATGGAAGAAAAGCCACTGAACAGACCTCTGATTCAAGTGAGTGCACATGAATACATGACTGGTATGATATAATGAGCATCATAAAGTTCATATAATCCGATTGGCTGATACTAAAGCGTGCGTTTTAAGTTTAATTTGTTCCAAACGTCTCGACTGCACTCCTCGGTTCTTTCTGATCTACCCAATGAGCGAAGAATGAGATGATTTCACTCACAGACGCCAAGATGTTCTGCCACCACGCCTGTCCTGATTAGACCCGTCATATTAAAACCATGTGCCCCGCCGCTCTGAGTGTCCATCAATAACGCTAATGACCCGTAGCCTGCAGGGAGAAAAAATAAACAGAGAAGGAAACCACAACTTAAAACTCTGCTGCTTTCTAACAGGCTGAGAGGGGGGAAGAAACAGCAATATAAGCAGAGAAGAAGAGAAGGAGAGGCCTGCGTCCAAACACTCAGTAACAGTGACACAAGTGTTACTGAAATAAAACAAAAACAGACTTTAAAGTGTTATTTTTAGGGATGATTTATATATGATGCATTGTTCTGATTTGTTTATTTACTTGTACTTTATGTACTCGTTTATGGTATTGCGCTGATGATTTGGTCCCTGTGGACTTGAAAGTATTATCTTTATTATTTGTATTTGTTTTTAAGTTTTGGAGAATGTTCATCATGATGTTCTGAGGCGTGTGGCGCAGTGGGTTGTGCGTTGGTGTCCGGAACAGGGGGTCACAGGTTCAAACCCCACTGCGGTCACATGTCGTTGTGTCCCTGGTCAAGACACTTCACCCCAAATTGCTCCTGTGGGGATTGTCCACAGTATTGAGTGTGTAAGTCGCTTTGGATAAAAGTGTCTAACAAGTAACATCTAATAATGTAATGTTTTTAGTTAGATTGTCTTTTAATTTTTTAACAGGAGTGATAGTCTATGATTGGAAGACTCCATTTAACTAAAAAAATATATATGTGATTCCGCTTTATTCATGCTCCTAAAATGTTTTGTAAAATACTTTGCCATGTGTTGATGGTGCTTTATAAATAAACCTTGCCTTCCAAAGGTTTGGCTTGCTCTGAGTTTTCATCTGTATTTGGACTTATTGTAAGTCGCTTTAAACCAAAGTGTCAGCTTGATGTAATTTAATAACTCACAGGGGGTATTTTCTCGCCCTCCTGCTTCAGCTAACTCTGCTCTCTTGTCTGTATTCATACTTGATTAGTTGAATAAAAGAACAGTGACAGAGGAGGTGCTACTA